CGCCGCCGCCATACACACTTATATATAAAAACATACACATACATACACACTTATATATAAAAATATTTATGTAGTTGTGTCTTATTCTACAATAATTTATCTTCAGGTTCCTTAAAAATTAATTTCTTGTCAAATTCATCATCCTCGCTGATGAGTCTTCATGGAGATTTTAATCTAGTAGCTGCAGAAATACCGAAAAAAGAAGCATCAAATCTATATTACACATTTTGAATTTGAGTTTCTTATTTACCATCACAGAGACCTATAATTTCGCCAAATTTGTGAGGGGAGTTCTGCCAAGGGTCAAGGGGTGTTAACATCTATCGATTCAAGTGTGGTTGGATCACTCTTGAGTAATTTCACATCTGAGTAAGGGTGGCTGGTGGATGTCATGACATACTGCAGAATCTAGCTGCAGCTCCTTTTTGGCCTGCTTGTCCAGGTTTCTTTTCCATAGATCAGCAATGATTGGTCCATTGTATTGAGAAGATAATGTTGGATGGCTAACCCTAAGAGTTCAGTTTTACATCTGATTTTAGTTGTTCTTCATTTCTGTAGTCAATGGTATTTAATCTATGAACTGTTAAGAGCTATAGGGCTCTGAGAAAGATGACTGTACCTATTCTGGAAAATACTCAGAGTCCGTTTAGAGTAGGTTGTTTCCACCTGGAGGTTGGAAACCATGGCTGTAGTTGAATTTGAGGTTTGACTTAGAGTGTGCAGTTCTCATCATTACAGCAAAAGTAAATATTCTAGACTTAATAAATGAACTTGGGCAATTTATTTTTTCTTTAATAAAAGATCTGTAAAATCTCTGTGAGTGATTTTGCAACTGTTCACAGAAACTGGTTTTGCTGTGATTTCCGGTTTGAGAAATGAAATGCTGTACTTCTCCTTTAGTTTAATAAGGAAAAAAGATTAGAAACCAAAAACCAGCTAGATATAGGAATGCTGATGTTGATTCAGCTGCTTTGAATAGTTTGCTTCGTTTCTCATGGTTAAAAATAGATAATTTTGGCAAAGTGGGGAAGTCACTGTCCTATTTTCAGGTTGCAGAATTAGCCACGTAATATACACCATGAAAACACTAGGAAAAAAATCCTCTATGATCTGATGTAGGGACAGGACCTTT